TGACACCCCCTCTGCCTGATATGTGGTCTTGTCCCCATGGCCTGCTGTCAGGTGGTCGTCCCAAGGCATCTTGGTCCATCTGGGGCAACTGCAGTCAGTTTGGGTGGCCTGTGGTCAGTCTGGCCAGGTCCTCACTGGTCTGTCTTCCTCCTCAGCCAGAGGCTACGGGCTCCTCTGTGACCTTAGAGCCCCAGAACCAAGCTCTGGGCTTGGGCACCGCTGGGCACTGCTGGGCTGGTTCCACCTGGGGCCCTGGGGGCTGAGGCAGTAGGGGGATCTTTGTGTTGGGGACACACCAGGGCCTTAGAGGGGCATCCCTTGCCTTACCCTGTGCTCCCACCCCCCAGCCACTGCCCAGGACAGGAGGTCGCTCAGCCCGTCCTGGTGCCAAGATGTGTGTCGGGGTGGTGGGGGTGAGTCTGGCCCTTCAAGGCCCCCACAGTGGGCTTAGTTTCCTAACCGAAGCCGTAACAGCCACAGAACTCTTAAACCAGGCGAGAAAGCAACACAGAATTCGCTTTGATGTTGAATAATTAATGCAACGTCTGACGTACGGGCTTCTGGGCTGTGTCTCTCCCAGCCGCAGAGCTGTCAGCACCGTCTCGTCATTGGAGGGGCCTGCCTTTCTGTCTTTAAACATGCGCTTGGCACCTCTGAGAGGTAATTAGGACATTCTGTGCACGATGAGGAGGCTGGGTGCTCACCTCCAGGGGGCTGCAGGGCCAGTGCGACTGTTGGGGACCAGCCCACCCTGGAGGGTGAGCTGCAGGGTCAGCTGGGCTGTGAGACCCTGAGCAAGATTCCCCTGCCTCAGTTTCCCTATCTGAAAAGTGAAGAAGTTGGATCCAGGGGCCTCTGGGGGCCCGTCTAACTCAGGCATTCCAAGGTGGTGGAGGAGCAGAATCAGGGACACATGGGGGACCTCGTTGTGTCCCCGGGTCGCCCTGGTGCTGGTAGGCAGGATGCAGAGCCCTGCCTGCTGAAGTTTGCTGAACGGGGCTGCAGCTGAGAATCTGTTTACTGCAGCAGGTCATCGGGAAGCGTTTCCTTGGAGACATATGTAGGACAGAACTCGGAAACTGAAACCGAGGCGCCCCACGAAGGCCCCACACCGCTGGCGGGAGGCGGTTCTCAGGCCTCTGCTCCTGGAGGCTGCTGGGACACAGCTGCCGCCCGGGGACTGGTCAGAGCCCGTGACCCGAGAACAGGGCTCCTAGCCCCTCCGCACAGCAGTGGCCACCCAGGGGGATATCGCACTTGGACTTTGGTGCAAGAATGTCTCCCGCCAGACTCCACTGAAGGTGTCCACCGCCCTCCTCCGGGAACCCTCCTCCTCCACGGCCTGAGCCAAGGCGCCAGCTGGCCAGGCCCTTGGAGAACTGCTGGTCCTCCCTGGTTTAACACGGGGAAACTGAAGCCAGAGGGACACTAAACTCCCATGGGGTTCACAGAGTCAGGCAGAGCCAGGGTGTGGACTGGGGTTTCCAGAGCTTGCCGAAGCACTGCCCTTCCCGGCTCCTGTCTACAGTGGCATTTTCTGGAACACACTCAGGGCACCCCTCGCTCACCAGCAGCCCCAGAGGACATGGTGCTAGGCTCCTGCACAGTGGGACCGCTTGGCAGCTGGTTGTGGGTGTGACCAGGCCACTGGCCTCCCCAGCTGCACAGGGTACGGCCCACTGTCCAGGAGAGGGCTCTGGGGCTCCGGAGCAGCTGGCCTGTGGGAAGTCCTGGGGGTGAGGTCTCTTTTCGTGGGGTTCGTGTGTGGGCAGGGGGGCTTCACGAGCTTCTTACCTCCCCACTCTGCCCTCACTCTGGTCTTCCCCTGATGTGCGTCTCCATCTTCCATCCCTGGCTTTCTCTGGGGCTGTTTCTGCTCAAACTCTGGGTCACCCGAGGGCCCAGAATTGGCGATCCTGACGCAGACTGGTGCACAGAGCGCTTGTCTGGCCCCTGGGCATGCACACGAGTACACACAGGCCCTTGGGGTGCCCGGGAGACTGGAGCAACCCTGGCCTGTTGTGGCCCCCGTCTTTGGGCTGGCCATGTCTTCCTGAACCTGTGCCCTGGGGCAGGGGCCACCTAAATGATTTTCTTTGGAGATGAGAGGTAAAGGAACTTTTGTTGCAGGATGGCTGAGAAGAGGGGTCACCTCCTGCTTCCCCAAGCCAATGGAGAAAGCAGGAATGGATGGTACGCTGCAGGGAAGCCGGGGCCTGGGCTCTGTCTGGACTCGGCTGCCTCCTGCCCCTACCCCTGTGAGATGCTGGGCGGTGCCCTGCCCACTTGGGGCCTCTGTCCAGCCTGCAGGGCAAGAAAGCCCCTCCAGCTGAGAGAGAGAGGATGGACTCGGAGGATGGACCCCTCCTGCAGTCGGAGTCTGGGGTGGGCAGCGTGGATGTCAGGGAAGCACCTGGTGCAGGTGGCCTCGGGCTCATGGCTGGCTCTTGGTCAACTCACACAGACTGAAGATGGGACCCTCAGGCTCGGCTCTGCAGGAGGCATTAGGGCCTCAGCAGGCCCTGAGGCTGGGTCTGGTGTCACTGCAGCCCAGGAGGGCAAGGGGAGTGGTTGCCTTTGTGTGCAGCGTCTGGGCCCGGGGCACAGGTGTGCAGTGTTTCCAATGCACATCGAGGAAACTGAGGCACAGGGAAAGGGGGATCAGCTCTGTCCACCTACAGGCCTAGCTGAGAACCCAGGGCTGCAGGCCCAAGGTCTGAGCGCGCCCTGTCTCAGGGTGTGGTGTCCTCCGGCCTCTGTCCTGGCAATGCCTGTGAACCCAAGGACAGATCCAGCCAGGGCTCACAGCCAGATCCAGCCTTAGACTGTGGGGACAGGGGTAGCCTCTCAGACCCAGAAGGCAAGGACCAATCCCAGCAAGCGGGGCTGAGGAGACACAGCTCTGGGCCCATAGGGTGGGGACCCTCTGCCCTCTGCCGTCCACCCTCCGGCCAAGGCAGGAGCTAGGTGTGGTCCTCCCAGCTGTGCTGGTCCATGGGCAGGGGCAGGGGCTCTGGCGGGCTCCTGGCTGGCTCTTCGTCCCTGGGCACGTTTGTTGCTTCCAGTCGCCTTCTTCAAATGAGGAGAAAATTAAACTCCCGGGGGCCTGGTTCCCCTGCCACCATGGCACCTCCCTGCCTGCCACCCGCCGCCTGCTGGGCCAAATGCTCTCAAAGACAGAATTCTGCTTAAATGCCCAGAAAAGAGATTTAGGAGATCAGAATCTTAAGCACATTAACATGTGCAGTGGGCGGCTTTTAATCACCGCCTTTAATCGCAGGCCGCGGTGATGGAAATCATCTCCTGGCTGAGTGGCGGGCGGGGCTGGCCCTGAGGATGGATTATTCATTAGAACCTGAACCTGGGTTTCACAGACCTCTGGAGGGGGGCTCAGGGGCCTCTGTCCACTCCAGGGAGGTGTGGCTGGGTCGGGACCTGCAGTCCGCACACCTCTCTCCCTCCTTCCCTCCCTCGGGCGTGTCTGTGGCTTTCACCTTCTGTCTCCTCTCCCCACCTCAGTTTCTCCCTTCTGAGACTTGGGGCTGCTGGCCCTTTCCTGAGTGGACGGTCCCAGGGGACACGCAGAGCCCAGGTGTGGGGGGTGCTGGGATGCCTGTTGCTCCTGGGTCACTGGCTGCCTCTGGCACACGCGCACTGCAGTGTCGTTGCCCGGACAGCCCCCATTGTGGCCTGGCCTCCCCTCAGCCCTGCCACTCAGCTCAGCGCCGGGACCCACTGAGACAAGGGACCCACAGGGAGGGACCACCCCTCCCTTCTCGCAGCTGTGCCCAGCCAGGTGGACACAGGCCCTGGGCCCCTGGCTGTGCCGAACGGGCCGTGAGACTGTTCATTCACGAGGGCAGGTCCCAAGAGCCCAGGGCAGGGGCTGGTCCAGCCGAGGGTCCCAGGTCACCCTGAGTGGTGGTGAAGGCAGGAAGCAGCTCCTTTAAGGATGCCAGGCAGCTGGGCCCAAGGGCCTTCCCTGGCAGGACCCAGGTGGTGACTGCAGTTGCTGGTGGCTCCCCTCCCCCTCCACACTGGGGCCCTGCCTGGCAGTAGGTGGTCACACCTTGAGATGGCAGCAGCTCAGAGAGCCCAGAGGTGGCCCCGCATCCTCCTGCTCGGGCGTGCGTGCCTGCCTGCCCTGCCCACATCCAGGACTCAGCATCCACACAAGCTTCCCAGGCCGCGCTCTGCGATGGGGGCTCGAGGCCCCTTGGGGCAGAGGTGGCTCCTTTCAGAACACCCCTCATGGGTGGATGTCTCTTTTGTCTGGAAAATGTTACGTCTCTCAGATGCTGGGAGCAGCATGTGCACGGGGAGGCAGAATGCTGGCTTGGCAAGGGCGAGGACCCCAGGGCGGGCAGCTCAGCACTGGACAGACAGGATGGGGAGGCGAGGGGCTGAGGGAGTGCAGGAAGGGGTGTAGCAGCACGCGGGGCTGCAGCCATCACCATCATCATCACCAGGAGCTACTGCTGGGGCTCAGCCTCCCCCAGTGCTGGACGCCCCCCAGGGCAGCCAGTGAAATGTCACCTCAGTGACCCTTGGCAGTGCTTAACCCTTCCCAGAGACCCTCCTGGGTGAGTGGCTCTTCTTGGCTGCAGCCTGCGGGGCCTGGGGTGTAATGACCAGAGGGTCCCTGTGATGGAGGGGCAGCCAGCCAGGGAGCATTTGGCTCTGGTCCTGGGAGTGCAGCCACCCCTCAGTAGGAGAAGCCCCGCCGTGAGGGAGGGAGGGCAGGATGGTCAGCGGGTGGTCACTCATGCTGCTATGGGAAGAGTCAGCAGGCAACCCGCCTCCCCTTCTGGCCTCTCAGTGGAGCCAGTTCAGCTCCCGCCAGAGACACCGGCCCGGGTGCCCTCCCCCGCCACCCCAGCAGAGGCTGCTGAGCCTGGGCTGGGCAGCCAAGGGTTAAGTGGGAGGGGCTCCCGTGGGAGGGGCGGTCCCAGCAGCGGCCCGTCCCGCCCTCCCCTCGCCTTCCTCACGGGCGCGGCAGTGTGTGGGGCTGCAATCGGCATGGGCACGGCGCGCGGGGTGCCCCTGCTCGGGCTGGGGCTCAGGGGACGCCGGGGGCCAGCACAGGGCCCGGTGTCCCTCGGGCCGTGCCGGTAACTGGGATTGGCGCCTGCCAGCCATGGAAGAGCCTGGGCCCCCGGGTGGGCTCAGCCAGGACCAAGGTAAGGGGGGCAGGTGGGGTCCCAGAAGGGGGCTGTGATGGTCCCCGTGGGGAGCCCAGGACTGGAGCTGTTCACTGGTGACCCACTGACCCCTCGAGGGCAGCGCAGGGCCCCTCCCAGCAGGGTCTCCGGGAGCACGGCCCAACAACCCCTTTACCTGCACATCCCTCAGATGCGGTCCCAGAGGAGGGATGTGGCCCCCACCCCTTGGCGCCCGCACCTTGCCTCATCTGCCGTGTTCTGACACCTGGCAGCGAGAGGGTCTGCTCCCTGCAAGGGGCCCAGCACAGTCCAGGTGGGCAGTGGGGGAGGCGCCCTCAGCCATGCTAACACAGGTCCTGACCTGCAGCCTGACCCCAGCAGATGCACACTGCCTGGTGGGGGGCAGGTCTGGGGGTGCCAGGGGCTGGTAGGCTCTGGCCTTTGGGGCTCTGGGGGCTCTCTTGGCCCAACCCCACCCCAGCCCCTCATCCAGGTCGGCAGAGGTGGCCCTGAGCTGCAGTCAGCACCATGGACAGAACAGCTGCCGCTTTCTCTGGAGACCTGCAGTTGCTGTGCATCCTCAGGGTTCCCTGGAGTCACACGCTGGCCCGGTCCATCCCACTCCGCTCCGGGTTGGAGATTTCTTGCTGTGATCTGTCACGCTTTCCTGACCTGGGAGCTGGACATTGCCCTGTGCAGACAGAGCAGAGTGGCAGGGGTGCCGGGAGCCCGGGGCTGTTCACAGCAGGAGCTTCCGAAGGGCATCCTGGGCAGGCACCTTCAGCACTGGCTGGGGCAGGGTCTCCAGCTCCCCAAACACAGCGCTAGCTCTGGGCCAGGGGCAGGGAGAGGAAAAGGTGAAGGGGGACAGTGGCCACGGCTGCAGAAGGAGTGGCTCAGGCCGGCCACCAGGAGGAAATTCCTGGGCTTCCAGGGACGGTAGGAGCTTGCCTCTTGGTGGTTTGGAACCTGGTTGCTCTGTCCTCTGATCGACGTGGACACGTGGGGTGGGACATGGCATCGCTGCGGGACAGACTGGGGATGGGTTGCTGGTTTTTGCTTCTGATGAACCGTGTGACCTCACACAAGGGACTGAGCCTCTCTGAGCCTCCATGGGTGAGAGGGATAGCATGGGGCGCTTTCACGGGGTGGCTGGGAGCGTTCAGAGCAAGCATGTCTGCAAAGTGGTTGTGCCGTGCCTGGCCCGTGCCACTGCTCCAGGGTGCCCATCCCCTCCTCTGCCCCACCCCTGTCGGAGGTGCCCTCTCTGAATGGAGGTCAGTGTGGCAGGTGTAACCAGGGCTGCTGGGGCAGACACTCTGTTTGTAGGATGTGCTGCATATTCAGGTCACTCCAAGTGCACCCACTCGCTGACCGCAGCCCCCATCCCAGGGCTCTCCTGAGCACATTGTCCCCGGTTCCTGCCTGTCTGGCCTGCAGAGAGCTCCCTGGAGTCACTGCCCTGTGTTGGCCACTGGGTTCAGGATGCCTGCCTGCTGTGGACAGGGGCTGGCTGCTGCCAGGTGGCCCCAAAGCTGCAGGTTCCAGGAGACCCAGCACACCTGGGGTCTGCAGCCAGCCAGGGAAGGGCCTAGTCTTAGGAGGGGGCAGTGGTGGGAGTGGCTCTGAGCCCACCCTCTGTGCCTGTGTCCTCTGGGCAGAGGGAGGGGAGCCAGCAGCACGGTCCTTACAGACTCCACGTGCCGCCGAGGATGGAGCAGATGGGCCGGTGTCCTGGGTCCAGCCCTCCATCTGCACAACTAATGAGCTGATGACGATGGCGTCCCAGTTCCTGGCAACTTCTCCTGCAGAAGCCATGGGCTGGCCCTGCCCGGGTAGTGCCCTTTGCTAGGGCAGTTTTGTGGGGGATGCCTGGGCCCTCTCAGGGACCCAGGCCCAGCGGCTCCACCTTCATTGAGGGTGGGCTGGGGGAGGGATTGGGGAAGGGGATGAGTAATCCGACGTGCCTGTTTCTTCCCGGGATTTTGCTCCCAGCACTTCGTACGTGGGCTCCCGCCGGCTGGACGGACTTCCTGTGTGGGCAAGGCGAGTGGGCGCGGGCCTCCCGCGTGGGGGCAGGGTGGAGTTGGTGGACACCATTCCCAGGACAGGACGTTTCCTCTGGTTCCTGAGAAGTCACTTACCGGGGTGGCCCCAGGCATGGGGGCCTCCATGCCAGCTGGGTGAAGACCCCAAGAGGGATCCTTGTGGCTTACGGTCACTGGAGATACAAGTGAGCCACTCTGGCGGGGCTGTGGGGCCCCCTCCAGCTCTGCCCCAGAGAGCAGCACCTGGGCGGGGGCCACAGGGGGCTCTTCCAGCAGGCAGGTCCTAGCACCAGGATGCAGCCCTGACTTGGGGACGGTGGCCACACTGTCCTGGGTGTAGGTTCCTTCCACCTGCTCAGACCTGGCGACCCAGGAACACGCCTCTGAGGGACTTGAGTGGTTTTGGTTTCACGTTGATCAGACCCCCGGCTGCTCCGACTTTCAGGCCCCTGTTGTGGAGTTGACCAAGGGCTGGGTTCTGGGTGGCCCAGTTCTCAGGGGCAGCCCTGTGCCCTTCCTGGGTCAGCTGGTGTGTGGGTGGGGGCCAACCCAGGGAGCACCTCACTGGCTCCCAAAAGGCAGAAGTGGGAGAAAGGGCAGCCAGCCCAGCCCCAGGGCCAGCTTGAGCAAGGAGGTCCAGACAGGGACGGAATGAATGTATAAGATGCCAAAAGCTTCAGGCAGGGGAGCTCGGAGGGCCAGCTTCATCTCCAGGACACCTTGTCTGTCCAAGGCTCTCTGGCAGCGCATTCATGAGGCTGCTCGAGGAAGCTGCTCTCCGGCCTGGCAGTGACCTGGGGTGCTCTGGCCGGGAAGAGCAGCCCCGTGCCGGGACGGACGTGGCGGGCTCAGCCTCCTTCTGTTTCCTCGCCTCCTCCATGGCTCTGTGCCTGCTCTGCCTGGCAGCGGCCCAGCTGCCACCCTCCCTCCCGTGCCTGGCTCTGGGCTGGGGGCAGGGCTGGCTCCGCCCACTTGGCCCGAGGACCCTCCCCTTGGAGCTGCAGCCCCCTCCCCTCACTCAGCAGGCGCTCCCTCTCTCCCAGCTGGCAGGCCAGGCTCCATCTGGTGACTTTTCAGGAAAGCCCCCCCCCTGCACACTGTGACTGCCACGAGCCTGGCTCCCTCTGCAGCTCCTCTGGGGTGTCCTGGACAGTGGCTGGGGGTAAGGCCATGCACCTGCCTGCAGAGAGCCCCAGGCCAGGTGGGTGCGATGCCCCGGCTGGCCATGCCCTGCTCAGTGAGGACAGAGAGGCAGCCAGGGCCTCAGAGAAGCCAGTGGCTGGTGGCAGGGACAGGAGCGGCTGGTGGCAGGGACAGGAGCCTCCAGGGACACACAGCGGGGGGCACTTGTGGTGGGGGGGAGCTGTGAAGTGGGCTATTAATAGGGTCCCCTTCCTGACAGGGCTGTCAAGTGCGATTAATACCGCCGCTGTGAGCTGGGCTGCCACCAACTGGGGACAGCGAGGGGGCAGGAAGGGGAGCCCACTCTGGGAGGGACCCTCACTGAGATGGGGACCTGGCCCTGGCTGTCCTGAAGCAGCTAGAGAAAGGCCAGATGTTGGGGCCTCCTTGGCCATAATGGGCTGGCTGGAGAGTGTGGAGGCCTGGGCGTGGGCTGGGCAGGTGCCCACCTGCATAAGAAGGGGCTGCTCCGGGGGAAGGTACAGGGCACAGGTCCCCTGGCCTCAGAGGCCATCCTGCCCACTTGCCACTGCTGGCTGCTTGGAGGGTCCAGTGGCCTCAAGTTCCTGATGAGGGGCACCTTTCTGTGCAACTGGGACTGCTTTGGACACCTGTGACCATCACAAGTCCTCCTGTGCATCTCTCCACACTGGGTGGCCGGATGACAGAAGGAAGGTGTCTGCTGGCCCTCCCTCTGGGCCCCGTGGGAGCCGGATCTTTCTAGCAGCAGCTGGGCCACCAGGGGAGCATGAGCCTGGCTGCCGTCCTCCCCCTGCTCTGCAGCCGGTGGAAGGTGGTGGGCAGGTCAGGCGGCGCAGCCAGTGGAGAACCTGTCCCCACCCTCTAGGGCGCTGGCAGTTCCAGCTCCCCCAGGGCTCTGTGCATACTGACCAGGAGCCACCCAAGGGGGCAGAACAAAGTCAGGCCCCAGGACCCCTTCTGGCCTGCTCCCCTGCCGAGCTGGGTACTGCCATGGGGTCAGGCCCTCCCCTCCACAATGCCCCCACCTCCTGCTGAGAGCTGGCATGGTCGCCACGCGGAGGGCGCTGCCAGAGGAAAGGGCAGAGCGTCTGTCCCTGCGGTGCCCTCCAGGCGTGTCTGGAGCGGCCCCAGCCCCACGGGCCCCAGGCACTTGCCCTTGGTTCCCCTTAGGCCCAGCCTGGTTCTGGGATCCCTGAGCTCCTAGCACGGCCACCCTGGGGTCCTGCCTGTGGGGAGGGCTCGAGGCACCAACTCACACTCCTGATAAAATAAAAATAGTTGGGGACGAGGCTCCCAGACGTGCGGGGGGACAAGTCGCTTCTCTCAGACGTTTAAATAATCTCCGCCATATGTGTGTGGGCCCGGCCCTCCCTCCTGTGCGGCGCCAGTCCAGGGGCCCGGCTGATCTCCAGTGGGTACCGTGGCTGGGGCAAGGCGGCCACTTCCTCCTCCCTCCCATCCACCCAAGCACAGGCTCAGCCCCTCCTGCATGCTGGGCCAGCCCTTGGGGGCAGCACAGGAGGGGGACGCTGGGGCTGTGAGGGGCAGGTGGGGGCTGCAGAAGGGCCAGGGCCAGGAAGGGCTGCAGGAGTGTCTGGCCCTCATGCCTCACTGCTGCTGAGGTCCTTTGCTCTCCCAGCCCTGGGATGCGGCTGCCTCAGTGACTCTTGGTGGCCCTGGAGGGTGGGTAGGCTGGCCTGGGTCCCATCGGGACAGCAGGTGACGGTCAGGCCAATGCCAGCTGGGCCCAGGCACAGCCCTGTGGGGGCTTCAGAGGGAGACACGGGTGGGCCTGGTGGAAGGTCC